GGCGTTCGTTTGCCAAGGGCAGGTGTTGTTAGCCTGTGGTAAGGCCTGGTCATTTCTGCTGGGCCAACTCAGCCCCTACACCAGCCGGATTGCCCGCTTTCTCTCCCACTTGGACTAAAATAAGCTAGCCTTTCCTGAAAGACTATTCAGTTGCCTCTGCAGAGGCCTCCTTTGGTCAAGTTGGGGTATGGATATTTAAAGATGATTACGGTTACGGTCTGCTCCTGGTCTTCCTGGGGCCATTTGTCTGGTTTGGGTAGCCTGAACGGTTCGTTACATGTTGACTTTGTGTCTGTGTGTGCAAGCTGAAAGCTTAAAAGGCTGTGGTAGGAATTCCTGTTTATTATTTCCTGAGCGAAGGTGTTTATATATATATATTTTAAGACAGGGTCTTGCTACCTCGCCCAGGCTGGAGTGCAGGGGCACAATCTCAGCTCACTGCAGGCTCGACCTCCTCAAGGAGGCCTCAAGCTATCCTCCCACCTCAGCCTCCCAAGTAGCTGGGATTACAGGTGCGTGCTACCACAGCTGGCTAATTTTTGTATTTTTTTGTAGAAAGGGGTCTTGGTATGTTGTCCAGGCTGGTCTCAAACTCCTGGGCTCAAGTGATCTGCCCATCTCAGCCTCCCAAAGTGCTGGGATTACAGATGTGAGCCACTGTGCCCAGGTACAAATATTTTTAAATCTCCCAACAACATTGCAAGGTAAGTATTTTTACCCCTATTTACAACTGGGGGAAAGGAGTGACTCTGCAAGGAGATACAGCCTGTAAACAAGAGTTTCTAGGCCTGTCTCCAAAGTCCATGCCCTTGTACCCCACTCTGCCTTTTTTAGTGCTTTGAACCCCAGCTCTGCCAACTACTAATGATGTGACTGTGGGGAAATTACTTAGCTTGTTTGTGCCTCAGTTTTCACACCTGTAAAATGGAGATCGTAATAGTACCGACTTGTTAGGAGGATTATGTAAGAACACACGTAAAGTGCATAAAATAGTGCCAGTGGTAAGAACTCAAACATTTTTTTAAAAATCGGGGCTCAGCATGGCTTGTGTCTAGTGAACGGAGAGAAGGGTAGGAGATAAGTCCAGTGAAGAAAGCAGGGGCTAGATTATGGAGACCACAGTACATTGTTTGGGTTTTATTCAAAGCACAATGGGAAACCCCTGGAGGATTTTAAGCAGGAAGTGGCATGAGCTGATTTAAAAATTTAAAAGATGGCCTCTTGTGGTGGCTCACGCTTGTAATCCCAGCGCTTTGGGAGGCCAAGGTGGGTGGATAACGAGGTCAGGAGATCCAGACCTTTCTGGCTGACACGATGAAATTCCGTCTCTTTTAAACAAAATACAAAAAATTAGCCGGGCGTGGTGGCGGGCACCTGTAGTCCAGCTACTCCAGAGGCTGAGGCAGGAGAATGGCGTTAACCTGGGAGGCGGAACTTGCAGTGAGCCGAGATCGCGCCACTGCACCCCAGCCTGGGCGACAGAGGAAGACTCCCTTAAAAACAAAAACAAATTTAAAAGATCACTCTGGCTGTTCTGTGGAAAATGGATTGTAGGGATTTTTTTTTTTTCCTCCAAAAAATCATTCATTACAGGTGCCCATATTTGGAGTAGAGTGAGCAACCTCCTTTGACTTGCTCCCTGAGCATAGAATTCTGTCATTGACTCAACAAATAATGTCCTGAGCACTTGATCTTTGCAGGAATTGTAGAGGGCACTGGGGATGCAGAGATAAAGAAGATAATGGCTCCCGTGGGAACATGATTTGTGGTACAGAGGAGAGGCTCCTAACGTGACAGCTCCTACTCATTACTTTTGTTGTATTCTTGCTCCAGCCCTTAGGAGCACGCAGTGATGGATGAAGTGAAGCCAGATCTCACTGACAGTAATACAGTATGATGAACACAATAATAGGGATCAAGAAGGGGAAGGGCCTTCAAGGGCAATATTATTAATAGGATTAACTCCCAAAAAAGAATTTGAAAGTAAGAGTTTCTTAGGTGGAATGGGAGAACATTCTGAAAGAACTAGGCCCTAAAGTAGAAGGAGGTTGGGAAGAAAGGTCTAAAACAAAGAAAGAATGACTTAAGAAGGGGGCTGGTATGGTGGCTCATGCCTGTAATCCCAACACTGTGGGAGGCAGCTGAGGTGGGCAGATCACATGAGGGCAGGAGTTTGAGACCAGCCTGGCCAACATGGTGAAACCCCATCTCTACTAAAAATACAACAATTAGCCGGGCGTGGTGGCGGGGCACCTGTAGTCTCAGCTACTCGGGAGTCTGAGGCTCGAAAAACACTTGAACACAGGAGGCGGACGTTGCAGCGAGCCAAGGAGCCAAGATGGTGCCACTGCACTCCAGCCTGGGTGACAGTGAGACTCTGACTCAAAAAAAAAAAAAGAGGGAAAGGGACAAGGAGGGAGCTCAGCACAGGCAAGAGTTGTAGAGGTGTTGGTCATTGGTGCTATCGCCTGAGATCCCAGGGTAACCCTGATAGCCTGGTAGTATCAATGCTTCTGAAAGTCAGTTTAGCAATTAATATTAAAAACACGTTAAAACTTTAACCCAGCAATTACACTTGGAAAGAAAAGGCATGTGCACAAATCTGCCTAAAAGGGAACGCTATGTACCTGTGAAAAATAGTTATCAAAAATACTTATTGGTATGGAGAGTTGTTTGAGAAATAGTAAATGAAAAAAGATTAGACTGAAGTGAGCTGAAGATTTAAAACATTTAAAAAAGAAAGGTGGTTACAAAGCTATATTACAGTGTGCTCCATTAACAAAAATATGTGATTTCGTTATGTACCCGTCAGAAATGCATATATAGTCATGTGTCAGTTAATGATGGGATACATTCTGAGAAATGTGTCTTGGTGGCTTTTTGTTGTGTAAGTGTCATAGAGTGTACTTACACAAACCTAGATGGTGTAGCCTACTACACACCTAGCCTGTAGGGTCTAACGGCTCCTAGGCTACAAACCTGTACTGCATGTTATACTCTACTGAATACAGTCGCTGCATCCCCCGTGCCCACTAGAATTCCTGCAATTACTGTAGGCAGTTGAAACACCATAATATGTATTCGTGTATCTATCTAAACACAGGAAAGGTACAGCAAAAATACAGTGTTATAATTTCATGGGGGCCACCTTTGTATATTGCAATCTGTTGTTGACTGAGAAGTCATTACATGGTACATGACTATATTTGTATATCAAAAGTATGAAAAAGAGTGTTCACAGCAGTATTATTTTTCAATAGCCCAAATAGGAAACAACCAAAATATCCATCAGTGGTGAAATTGATAAATGATAGTATATTCATACAATGGAATAGTCCACAGCAATGAAGGTGAATGAACTACAACTAGATTCAGCAGTGTTCACGATTCTCACTGGCATGTTTTTTAAAAAAAACAGACACAGACCAGGCACAGTAGCTCACACCTGTAATCCCAGCACTTTGGAAGGCCGAGGCAGGTGGATCATCTGAGGTCAGGAGTTTGAGACCAACCTGACCAACATGGTGAAACTCTGTCTCTACTAAAAATACAAACAATTAGCCGGGTGTGGTGGCGCATAGCTGTAATCCCAGCTACTCAGGAGGCTGAGGCAGGAGAATTGCTTGAACCCAGGAGGTAGAGGTTGCAGTGAGCCTAGATCACGCCATTGCACTCCAGCCTGGGCAACAAGAGCAAAACGCCAAAAAAAAAAAAAAAAAGATTATGATTCCATTTATAAAAAGTTCAGCAGGCAGTGTTGATCTCTGCTATTAGAAGACAGGACAGTAATTTATTTTACCTTCAGTCATTTTTTTTAACTTGTGGTAAAATACACATAAAGTCTGCTACTTTAAGTATTTTAAAGTGTACGACTCAGTGGCATTCAGTGCATTCACAAATTGTATAACTATTACCACTGTCTAGTTCCAGGTAAGTAGTCACCACTCCCCATTCCTCCCTCCTCCCAAAATGTTAGTTTTTTTTTGTTTTTTTTTCTGAGATGGAGTCTTGCTCTGTCGCCGAGGCTGGAGTGCAGTGGTGCAATCTTGGCTCACTGCAAGCTCCGCCTCCCGCCTCCGGGGTTAACGCCGTTCTCCTGCCTCAGCCTCCTGAGTAGCTGGGACTACAGGCGCCCGCCACCACGCCCAGCTAATTTTTTTGTATTTTTAGTAGAGACAGGGTTTCACTGTGTTAGCCAGGATGGTCTCGATCTCCTGACCTTGTGATCCACTGGCCTCAGCCTCGCAAAGTGCTGAGATTACAGGCGTGAGCCACCACGCCGGCCCCAAGGTGTTACTTTTGAAGAAGAGAGAATAACTACTGGAAGGGTCATCATGGGGACTTCTGGATATTAGTTATGTGTGTTCCTTTAAAAAAAAAATCTAAATGGTGGCTGTATGGCTGTGTTTATGTTGTGAAAAATTAGCTATACACTTGTATATACTTTGCTGTATGAATGTTATATCTAAGTACATATAGATAAATTTGGAGGGGGGGGTGTGGTGTGAAATATTGCTAACACTGATTTTTTTCCTGGGAGGTAGGAGTATGAATCCATTTTGTACTTACTATGTTTTGCTAACTTGTTTTCCAATTGGTATTCATGAATACATGTATTACTTTTGTAATAAAAATTTTAAAATTTAAAACATTTTTTTTTTTTTTTTTTTGAGACAGAGTTTCATTCTGTTGCCCAGGCTGGGAGTACAGTGGTGCAGTCTTGGCTCACTGCAACCTCTGCCTCCCGGGTTCAGGCATTTCTTCCTGCCTCAGCCTCCTGAGTATCTGGGATTACAGGCATGTGCCACCACACCAGGCTAATTTTTGTATTTTTCAGTAGAGGTTTCACAATGTTGGCCAGGCTGGTCTTGAATTTTTGATCTCAGGTGATCTACCTCGGCCCCCTAAGTGCCAAGATTACAGGTGTGAGCTACCACACTCAGTCTAAAACACCTTAAATAAAGGACAATAACATTGATTTTAAGCCTTTTTTTTCCGCATTTTTTTTTTTTTGAGACAGGGTCTGGCTCTGTTGCCCAGGCTGGATTCAGTGACACAATCTCGGCTCACTGCAATCACCTCCACCTCCAGGGCTCACAATATCCTCCTTCCTCAGCCTCCCAAGTAGCTGGGACTACAGGCACATGCCACCACACCTGGCTAATTGTTTTAATTTTTTTGTAGAAACAGGGTTTCACCATGTTGACTACGCTGATCTTGAACTCTTGAGCTCAGTCCATCCACCTGCCTCAGCCTCCCAAAGTGCTGGGATTATAGGCGTGAGCCACCGCTTTCCACCAATTTTAAGCCTTTCAAGAGAAAACATTCCTTATCAGAGACAATGGGAGTGTCTCACCAAAACTTTGCCCAATTACTATTTAGCCTCAGGATTGATACTTCTATGTCTGTTCATCACCCTCTGTGGTTCTGGACCTGTCCACTCTTCCTGGCTGCCTTTCTTCTTGGTGGGTATGGAAGGAGTATGTGTGGGAGAGATGGGGAAGGAGGGTGTTTCAGCCCTGCTTAGACACGGAGCGGTTGTGCTCAGAAGACTCACTCCTTGCCAGGCTGGAAGTAAACTTGAAGCAAAAGCTGGGGGATTTGAGAAGAGAAGGTAGACTGGCCTGGAAGTTGCATCAGGAAAAGCCAGAGGCTTTAAGCAAGCAAATAACCCCCCCGTTTCTCGTCCCATAAACAAGCAACCATTACAGAAAGAGATTTTTGTAAGAGAAGACTTTCACAGCCTTCCTCAATCATTCTGCATCCACCAAAACTCCCTGTATCTCTTAGGAGTTTGGAATACCTTTAAGTCATCCTTGTCTTAATGACTTTCTCACCTTTCAAATCTCAATTTTCATCTTCATCCCTTCTAGGTTCTTAGACACTATTAACCTCTTCTTCCTCTGTGCTTCCATAGCACTTTCTTTATATGTCTGTTAGAACAGCCACCACATTCTGTAATAATTTGCTGCCAAACTGTGAACTCCTTAATAGCTGGGACTAAGTCTTTTTGCATCCTCAACACATACGGTCCACAACACACATGTGGTTTCCTGGCAAACCACGTATACCTAACAAATGTTGATCTAAATTGTTGAAGGAAGATCTTCTTCCCACCCTCTAACTTTTCCTTAAGTAGAGAGACTACACACACATTCCTTCCCTTTTCCTTAAGGTTTTTCTTCAGTCCTTTTCTTTGTTCCAAGATTTCTTTAATTCTTAAGAGATTATTGTGCGTTTACACATGCGCATGTCCCAGAGCAAGTGGTGCAGATTTACGCCCATTTCCATGTGCATCATCGGGTCTGTAGTCCTCCTTCAGTCCTCTTCTAGAACTTTTCTGATTCTTCCCTGAATTCCACGACCTGGGGACATGGTAAATACATCGTTTTTAGCTGAGCTTTTATTTATTTGTTTGTTTAGTTTTTGAAATGGGGTCTTGCTTCATTGCCCAGGCTGGAGTGCAGTGGCACCATCACACCCCAACCTGCAGCCCCGACCTCCCTGGCTTAAGTGATTTTCCTACCTCAGCTTCTCGAGTAGCTGGGACTATAGGCACACACCATCATGCCCGACTAATTTTTAAACTTTTTGTACACACATGATCCCATTATGTTGCCCAGGCTGATTTCAAATGCCTGTGCTCAAGTGATCCTTCTGCCTCAGCCTTAGAAAGTGATGAGATTATAGGCTTGAGTCACCTCTCCTGGCCCCTAGCTGAGCTTTTAGAAAGGAATTTTCCCTACACATTAAAAAGTGTCAGTCCAGTACTAGCCCTTTTCCTTACCTGTTGAGCCCTTAGGGACTGTGTTGATTCATAATCTAGAGAGGCAGCCACTGCCTCAGGTGGATTCATTTATTCACTGGTCATGCTCTGGAAACATATAACAAGGTATCTCATCTAGTCCTTGGTCAAGCGCAGCTTCCTTGAATTGACATTCCTGCCAAATGCTCACAGTTAGGTAGAAGGTGATTAGGGGGAACATGGGTTATAAAAGAGCCAAAGAGAGCTATGCATTTGAGTCCCTGAAGTGTGGGGGATGGCACGGATAAAATGTTCAAGGATCCTGAAGACCTTGCCAATAGTTGGAATGTGGAGCTGCGGGTGGAGTGACCCAGATGAGGTTGAAGTAAGCAGGGACAGAACAGGACAGAGCCTTGCTGTATGATAAGTCTGCATTAGGAATATTGAAAGTGACAACAAACCCACTGAAGGAAAAAGAGGGGCTAAGAGTTCAGGATTCTCATCCTTGGTCTCCTTTGTGTTAGCTTCTCTCTTGGTCAGGCCTCTGTGAGTGGTCTCTGATCTCCCTAGTCACACAGAAGCCAACAGCTAGAGTCAAGAGAAAGGGGTGAGGAAGGCTGATGAATAGGGGCTATTCATCTTTCCACTCTTACCCTCAAGGCTGCCTTCTTTGCAGGCAAGTCTAGACCTCCTCAGGTAGACCCTCAGTGGGTGGGCAGGAAGCTTAGCCTTTTAGGGACTTCAGGGAAGTAGAGAAGGGGACAAGTGAGGGGATGCTGTTCCAAGACTCCAAAGCCGTTTGCTTTCTTAAAAATAGCAAACCCAGAGCCCCGTATCTCTTTAAGGGCCTAAACGCATTTTCTCTGCTGTATCCTCAGCCTACCTGGGGAGCAGGATCATTTGGGTTTGGTAAGAGAAAAAAGGAGGCCGAAAACTCCTCCTGTCTCCCGACCCTCGTTCTGGCCCTCTGGCCCTCAGTACTAAGCAGGCCCTGACCCACTCGTCTTACTCCTGCTGCTGCTTCCCGGCGGGTCTCACGTCCCTTCTCCGACCACGCTCCAGGTCCTGCCCCAACTTTAGGACTTCAGAACTCCTCCACCGTGCCGTGGAGGGACAGCCCTTCTTCTGCCTCACCCACACCCTACCCAGGCAGAACCAATCGAAGACTATCCCACCCAGGGACCCCCCTTTTTTTTTCTGGGAACCAGCGTTTCCGCCTCCGGGGCGCAGACTCCTCCCCCTCACCGTCCCAATTGTATTCCCTGGAAGAGCAGCCGGAAAAGCCTCCGCCTGCTCAGACCGGGATAGGCGAGAAGCTGGTTTCTCCTCGCAGCCGGCTCCCTGAGCCTCAGGAACCACCGAGGCGCCCGGCACCACCTGGGCCCAGCTCCAGGCGGGCGCGGCTTCAGCACCACGGACAGCGCCCCGCCCGCGGCCCTCCCTCTGGCGGCGCGCTCCAGCCGGTGTAGGCGAGGTAGCGAGCTATGCCCGCGGCATGGCCCGGCGCTGCGGCCCCGTGGCGCTGCTCCTTGGCTTCGGCCTCCTCCGGCTGTGCTCAGGTAAGGGAAAGACGGGCACTGGCCAGGTTCTCCCACCCCAGCCAACGGCCCAACACGGCGTGCTGTGACTCACCCCTGCTAGGCCGGAAGGTGGAAGAAGGGATTCCCTAGAGGTGGGATAGTCTGCTAGGGGTTAGGGGAGAGCCCCCGGGACTGCAGAGAGCACCTGGGAGGCTGCACTGGGAAGGAGACAATACTCGAAGGAGTAAGTGAAGCAAAAAAGAGATGGTAACCTGGCCAGCGGTGGTAGGGGTGGTGCAGGCACAGAGAGCAAGGAGGCAGGGGATCTCCCCAGGTGTTCTGGGGTGGCAGGAGGGCCGGCTCTGAGGGCGCTAAGATGCCATCTGACTTTTTGTGAAACATTATCTCAAGAAAGGTACCTGGTCCAGCACCCCTCCCTGGGCTCCCCATCGGTTCCCATCCCCCACATTGGGCTCCAGATTCTCGTCACCCCACAGGGGCAGAGAAGGGGAGAGAAAGGAACGGACTTTTCAACCCTCTTGTAGGGTGGGACAGGAGACTTGGAAGGGAAGAAGCTCTGCCAGGCTGAGGACTAGGAAGGAACTCTGAGGGGATGGGAAGGGGTGTGTTCGCGCAGAGTTGCAGAGGGGGGTGCACTGTGGGGAGGGCAGGCACGAAACGAATGCACAACCGAATGGGCTTTCCACACCTACAGGCCACCTCTGGGGGTGGGCTGCTGTGTGTGTGAAACTTGGGGCTAGATATATGCCTGACGCACAGCTTAGGCAGCCCAGCTATTCCACTCCAACTCAGTGCCTTTAGGGAGAGGGGAGGATGGCGTCGTGACCACAGTCACGTGTCATTATGTGAGGCACATAATGCCATTTGCACATGTAAATGGTGAACGGGAACAGTTATTTGTGTCCCACCACACATATGCTTTCTCCTTCTCAATCAGCAGGAGAAAGGGCATGCGTTGTGGGACACAAATAACTGGGACAAATAACTGTTCCCTTTCACCGCCCTGCAAAACCTCCCCTGAGTCATAGGTATTTGCTGGGGAAACGATGGAAGCAGAAATCTCAAACTGCCCTCTGAGACTTTGGGGGAAGAGCTGGTCTCCACGAATCTTTGCAGAGTGGGTTCTCAGTCTCAAGGCATCTCTGTTGGGCTGTCTGGACTCCTTGGTCAGTGGTCTCAGAGAGGGGCTTTTCTACGAAGACGTTAATCTGGGGCTTCCCTGGGGGTAATCTACGCATTTTGCAGTATCCTCAGGGACGTAGGCAGATACTGGTTGGGCCTGGATTGTTCCATTTGCCCGGGGAGGGTGGGATGTTGGATGGGTTCTCCTTGCCTGCTTACTTTCTTCCTGCCTTTCCCCTGCCCAGGGGTGTGGGGTACAGATACAGAGGAGCGGCTGGTGGAGCATCTCCTGGATCCTTCCCGCTACAACAAGCTTATCCGCCCAGCCACCAATGGCTCTGAGCTGGTCACAGTACAGCTCATGGTATCACTGGCCCAGCTCATCAGTGTGGTGAGTGGGGGTCCCAGACTCTCTGCCCAGCTACTGAAGTCAGCCCCGCCAAAATGTGTTAATGCTGGTGTGCTTCCTCCTCTGGTGTTTCCAAGGCTTGGGGAGGTGTGAGAGGGACCCTGGGTGGTGGCAGTGAGCCCACAGGCTGAGGGGCCTTCTCGGCAGCCTCTCTTCCTCCCTGCAGCATGAGCGGGAGCAGATCATGACCACCAATGTCTGGCTGACCCAGGTAAGCAAAGTGCTCTCTTCTACCTGCACCCCTGGCCTTCTGTCTCCGCCTTTTCCCCCATGTGCTTTTTTCTTTCTTAATCTCTCAAAAGAGGCAGAAAGGTATAGAGTTTGGAGTCCTAAATAATTGGATTTGAATCATGGCACTCACCAGCTTTGTGACTTTAAACATATTAAACTCTCCAAGATTCATTTTCTCATTTGTAAACGTAGATTCTAATACTGTACTTTGGCCTAGCTGTGCAAATTAAATGAGAAAGTACCGTATGAGCTACACTTGATGGGCAGAGAAGTCACTGTGGGGAAGAGGCTGGCTTTTAAAAGCTCCCTCAAGCCATATGGGCCCCCTCTAGTTCATTTCCTTAACCTTGAGCCCCTCCCAGGGCAGAAGTTGGTACTGCCTCCCTCTCTCATTTCCCAGGAGTGGGAAGATTATCGCCTCACCTGGAAACCTGAAGAGTTTGACAATATGAAGAAAGTTCGGCTCCCTTCCAAACACATCTGGCTCCCAGATGTGGTCCTGTACAACAAGTAGGAGCAATGGGAAGGTTGGGGGAGACGATTGGAGGGCTCAGGGAGGGAAGGGGTTATGGGGAAAATAAGAGAAATTAACTTATGCTGTGGGAGGGGAGGGACTTGTAATAGATATACAGTCACTACCTAGACAGACAGACCCAGACCAGTGAGGTATACAGTGTGGACAGCCAAGGTGACCTGGGCAGTGACCAGCCCACTCCCAGCCAGTTAGGACTCCCAGTATGTATTTGATGATGTGGTAGGGATACAAACAAGTATTGACAGCCCCCAGTGCCTCAACTGATTCAGTAACAGGCTTTCCTGGAAGCCTGGGAAGGATCAAAGAACTTTAATGTCCCAGTTTCTCCTCCAGGTTCTATCCTGTCTCCTGCAATAATCCATCTCATCTCTAAGGTGCAAAGCCACCTTCCTCAACTGATGGGACCATGCCCTGTCCCCTTCCATTGCTTGGGGCTCCTTACACTGGCCTCCTGGCTCCCCCAACTTCTCCCCCCTCATGAAGATCAACCAGCTTGTACAATATGTGACAAGTAGCAGACGTGTCCCCTCCATCCACCCACCACCCCCTTCTACCTGCAAGGTATCACACAGGCCTTCTGACCAGGACACTTCTTCTAGTTACTAACCACCACCCCCCATATCCCCTTCTTGCTCAATTCCTGCTCCACCTCTCTATACTCCTGGAGGTTACTCTCAGACCTAGGTGTCCCTTCCCCATGTCTCCCTCTGGTTTTGCTCTCCTCCAACTAGGGGCTGGGTTGATGGGTAGGGAGGAAGGAACGCTTAGGCCAGGGCTGACTGTGCCCATCCCTTGGCAGTGCTGACGGCATGTACGAGGTCTCCTTCTATTCCAATGCGGTGGTCTCCTATGACGGCAGCATCTTCTGGTTGCCGCCTGCCATCTACAAGAGCGCATGCAAGATTGAAGTAAAGCACTTCCCATTTGACCAGCAAAACTGCACTATGAAGTTCCGTTCGTGGACCTACGACCGCACGGAGATCGACCTGGTGCTGAAGAGTGACGTGGCCAGCCTGGACGACTTCACACCTAGTGGTGAGTGGGACATCGTGGCGCTGCCGGGCCGGCGCAATGAGAACCCCGACGACTCCACGTACGTGGACATCACCTATGACTTCATCATTCGCCGCAAGCCGCTCTTCTACACCATCAACCTCATCATTCCCTGTGTGCTCATCACCTCACTAGCCATCCTTGTCTTTTACCTGCCATCCGACTGCGGCGAGAAGATGACGTTGTGCATCTCAGTGCTGCTGGCGCTCACGGTCTTCCTGCTGCTCATCTCCAAGATCGTGCCTCCCACCTCCCTCGACGTGCCGCTCGTCGGCAAGTACCTCATGTTCACCATGGTGCTTGTCACCTTCTCCATCGTCACCAGCGTGTGTGTGCTCAACGTGCACCACCGCTCGCCCACCACGCACACCATGGCGCCCTGGGTGAAGGTTGTCTTCCTGGAGAAGCTGCCCGCGCTGCTCTTCATGCAGCAGCCACGCCACCATTGCGCCCGCCAGCGCCTGCGCTTGCGGCGACGTCAGCGTGAGCGCGAGGGCGCCGGAGCCCTCCTCTTCCGCGAAGCCCCTGGGGCCGACTCCTGCACGTGCTTCGTCAACCGCGCGTCCGTGCAGGGCTTGGCTGGGGCCTTCGGGGCTGAGCCTGCACCGGTGGCGGGCCCGGGGCGCTCAGGGGAGCCATGTGGCTGTGGCCTCCGGGAGGCGGTGGACGGCGTGCGCTTCATCGCAGACCACATGCGAAGCGAGGACGACGACCAGAGCGTGAGTGCCGCAGGCTGGGACCCCAGGTGTGAGATACAGGGTCTGCCAGGGCCCGGGTGTCTGGAAAGCAGCGGCGTTCTGTAGACATGCAGACCTAGTAGGAGTGTAGGAGAGGGAAATGTGAGTCAGGCCTGTGTTGCGGGTCTGGGCGCTGGCTAGGGCCCCTCTGGGTTGGCTTCCGGGAGATGGTGCAGCCTAAATTGGGGTTGGTGGAGGATGACCTTGCTGCTTCCTGAAGGCTAGCACCCAGGGCGAAATCCCTGAGCTGGGTATCGTTATATGGGTAGGGAGGCCTGAAACATGAGGAGGCCCTTTAGGGTTGGCAGCCAGCCTGTGGCTGTGACCCCCAGAGTCCCTCACTGCTGCTTGCATGCCCACATCCAAGTTGTTAACCTGCAGCTCTTAGCACCAGTGGAGATGAGTCCTTTGTGCACCCCAGGGCAGGAGGGGGCAAAATTGAGGACAGTAGGAGTTGTGTGTGTTGGGGGAGGGGTGGCGTTGGTG